GCCCCTTCCCTCGAGGCCCCGCCCCTGCGCTGCCTCTTTCCCCAAGACTCCACCCCCTGCTCATTCCTCTCCGCCTCCTTCCCCTGGACCCTTGCCCGGGGAGACTCTGGGTGGGGGGAGGACATAAATCCTGTAGGAAAGCTGCAAAGGATGGAAGCAAAACATGCAGGACCAGCCCCTTGCTGGGGTAAAGTGGAGTCAGCGGCGCTATAACCATGAACATCGGCTGAGGATCTTCTGCAGGGGCGGGAAATCTTTTTCAGGGCAAGGGCCACTGGCCCACAGGAAAATCAGTCGGGGCCGCACACAAGAGGGACAACCAAAACCAGTAATACGTAGTGGATGAGGCTTTACCATTTAAATGATATATAATGGCATTTTAATTTCCCTAATGTTCTCCATCATGCCTTATCGCAGGGTTGGAAGCCATTGACACAGATAAATCAGACTGGGCTCTGGGGCTGCAGGGATGTGGCAGGGGCTGGGATGCCAACGTGGGCTCCCCAATGCTGGGAGGGACGCCCCGAGCCTCAGGGGCCAGATCCGGCCCCCAGGCCTTAGGTTCCCCACCCCGATCTATCCAGAGAGCGAGAACGTGCGAGAGAGCACTGCCCTCTACAGGCTAGAATGTGAACGTGAGCAGCGAGTTTAGTCCACCTGTTACTCCCCATTTCATTTCTAAACAGCTACATAATAATGCTACAGGCACAGATCTACACAAATAGAACATAAGAATGGCCAGACCGGGTCAGACCAAAGGTTCATCTAGCCCTGTATCCTGTCTGTCGACAGTGGCCAATGTCAGGTGCCACTAGAAAGAATGAATAGAACAGAGAATCATCAAATGATCCATCCCCTGTCACCTAATCTCAGCTTCGGAGAAACAGAGGCTAGGGACATCCTCTCGGTCCATTTTGATGACATGCCATTGATGGCTCTATCCTCCATGAATTTATCTTGCTCTTCTTTGAACTGTGTTAAAGTCCTGGCCTTCACCACATCCTCTGGCAAGGAGTTCCGCAGGTTGACTGCACTGTGTGAAGGAAAACTTCCTTTTGTTTGTTTTAAACCTGCTACCTATTAATTTCATTGTGCAAGTTGGGAAGTCAAGTACTCAGACATTAGGAAATGCCAGACTGAGAGCAGCCTTTGCTTAATTCAGTCCCCTTGTGCACGTGCATTGCAATACAGTCTTTAATTACACAGCTAGAATCCAGTTCTCCAGCTCAGCATTCAATTAACTGTTGTGTTCACTCCCTCTGGGGCATCTGGCATTGGCCACTGTTGGCAGACAGGATACTGGGCTACATGGACCGTTGGTCTGACCCTGTCTGGCCATTCTTATACTCTAAATGCCTTCGCCAACCTTTCTCCTCCTGCAATACCCTGTCTCCTCCACCCTGTGGCTCTGACTTGGTGGAAGATGCTATCACAGTATTTCTATAAACACGTTTCATGCAGAGTTTGAGCTCTCCAATGCAGCATCTTGTGCACACTTCCTCTGGCCTCTCCCTCTTCCTGTGTACGCCTCGTTCCCCATCCTCCTGGGACCATGGCGTGTATTTGTAAAAGGAACCCGCCTCTCCACATACCGGGGGAAACGAAGAAGACGCTCTGTAGCATCTCGTTCTTTGTGACCTCCAGGATATCCTTGGTGACGTTGATCAGCCTTCCGATGGTGGGGGGGACCCGTCGGAAATCCAGGATCCTGAACAAAAGGGAATGAGTATCAGTCAGAGAATCGTGGAAGATGTGGAAGAGAGAGTATTTCTCAGCACATTGTTGGTAAGGCTGGGAATCTACCCAGCAACTCAATCCAGACCCTCTGCGGTGTAAAGGAGCCTGTTTCTATTCTGAAATCACACTCCCTTTAAAGCCTGACAACTAGAATCTTTCTTGTGTGCTCTCCAGCAAACGAGCAAGATCATCGTGTCTTCCAGACCAAAAGAGGTATGGTCTGGGATTTGTTGTTTTGACAGCTGCCCTCTGGAAGAGTTTGGGGACATTTTGGCTGCTCTCTCCAGGATCTGCTGTAATTCTAAGCATCTTTTCCCCGGCCAGTTTCTCTCACGTCTATGTGTTTGTTGTCTCTTTCAAGGGTCAGAGACACTCCACCGCCCTTACCGACCTGCACAGCGTTGTGTTTGTGTTACAGCACAGAGAGTGGGAAGCTGGGAGGGGCTTGCGCACACCAGGAAACACTTAGCCTATTATCTCAGCTGATTCATCTCACTTATCTCACTTCGGATAATCAAGGGCTTGGGGCAGAGGGAATTTTTAATGCCGACTCTGGGAGTGGAAACCCATTCCTGAGTCAGTAACCACTGGGCAGGCTCAGTAATGCCAAGAAGCAAACGTTGAGCAATGCACTCAAGTTCCAAAACTCAAGCACGAAATTGGATTTAGCTTGTCAGTTACGGAGCAATTAAAAAAACAAACAAACCTTGTGTTCGGAGATCTAGCGTCTTTCCTCTACAGACATCAAAGCACTTTAGAATATTAGAAACATAGCCCAGGGCTTGTTTTATAGATGGTTAAAGTGAGTCCCAGAGCAAAGTTCCCTCTAATTGTTCCCATCCATGTGCGGAATACATTTTGTTCTGTGCACCAAGGCATGTGTGGACGTGCACCACCAATAGAAACTCATGTTGCCAGCTGTAGGTGCTCTACTAATCAGCTGAGCGGCACTTGACTCTCTTGTGTGTGGCCGCCCAAATGCTCAGCTTAAAGGGAACACTGTCCCAGGGACGTCCCATGGCACTGAGGCACAGGAATGGAGGATTCCAAAGCAGATAGGAGGAAGGGTGGGAGGTAGAGCACCCACAGGCTACCTCCAGACTGCATCTCTCTGTCAGCAGAGGGATGCAAATCAAGCACTTCAAAAGTGCAAATGAGCCCAGGATTTAAATATCCCGGGCTTAATTTGCATACTCACATTTGGTCACTGTGCCAATCACGTGCCCTTTTGAAAGTGAAAGTAAAGTCTAGCCACGGCTCTGCCGATAGCAGGAAGCTTTTTCGGCAGATCCTGTACTCCTCAAAAAATGAGGAGACTTTACTTTCACTTTCAAAAGGGCAAGTGATTGGCACAGCCCCCGAACGTGAGTATGCAAATGAAGCCCGGGAAATTTAAATCCCGGACTCATTTGCACTTTCAAAGTGTCTAATCTACATCCCTCTGTTGGCCGAGGGGTGCACTGTAGTTTAAACACATCCAGGGAGGCTAAATGAGTCCCCCGCAGGCTGCAACAGTATTTAATAGCAAAGCTAGAAATGGAAAGAATTTAGCTCCCCAGACTCCCTGGCCCAGGTTTTGAACGATCCGGCTACAGGCCTAACATCAGCCTTGTTCATCATTACAACTGGAATTGTGAAGATGATGGAGCAAAGCCGTCACATTTGGCACCTCTCTCAGTGGAACCTCCCCTAAGGGAGAGGAAAGATGGCTTCTTTCCCCATGGCTTTTCACCTAACGCTGGGAAAGGGTACCCGCTTACTGGCAGTGTTCCCCGTAAGCTGGGTGCTTGTGCAGCCACTGAGGAGGGAGTCAGATGCTGCGCAGGTGATTAGCAGAGCGCCCACAGTGAGGTTTTGTTTTGTTTCTCCTGGTGGTGCACATGCCTCGGTGCACATAACAATTTATTCTGCACATGGATGGGGAAAAAAATCCACACATGAATGGAAAAGGTTAGAGGGAGCATTTTAGGTTAGCCCCCCCCCCCCTCGGAGGAACAACCCATTTCGCTGCGGGCGTGCTGCCAACAGAAATAGCGCCGGTTTAATTCAAATCAATGAAACCCGGTTTAGGTGGTTGCACACAAAAAGGCAGTGGTTTAATTACATCGGTGCAACGTTGTGTGTGATGACCAGGCTTCACACTCTAAACAAGCTTCTCCAAACAGTCCCCTGCCTTCACTGGCCAAGAGTGAGCAGCCTGACTTTCAAAAGTGCCAGAGGGGGGCTGACTCTGGGTGCTGTCCCAGGCCCTGCCCCCACTCCACCCCCTTTCCCCAAGGATCCATCCTGCCCTGCCTTTTCCCATACCTGTCCCACCCTCGCCCCACCCCTCCCTGCCCAGTTCCACTCCCTCCCCTGAGCACGTGGCATCCCCCCTCCCTCCCAGGGCCTCCAGAACACTGCAAAACAGCTGATTGTAGCGGATGGGAGGCACACGGAGGGCAGGGAAGGCACGGATCCCCAGGGCCTGCTGGTGGGTGGGAATTGCTGGGGAGGGAGGGAGTCGATGAGGGGCTGCTGGTGGGTGCTCAGAACTCACCAGTTTTTCCCGGGGGGTGCTCTAGACCCGGAGCACCCACAGAATCGGGGCCTTACAGCTTCTGCTTCTCTCTGCTAAGACGGGCCAGCTTGTGGCTGCTTTTGGAATGAAGACCCCTGGTCTACTTGGAACTGTCCTGAGACCCCTGGCTCGTTTTATACGGGGGATGGACATGGAGCCTGCCACATTCGGACGGGTAACTCAGAGACGAAAGGCGCTCTCCTGTGCCCAGCCCCCAGCGAACTGAACTTGACCCGAGGGAAAAGAAGGGGAGGGCTGCCCAGAGCTGCGTTCTGCCTTCCCGGAGCTCAGCGCGCAGCTTGAAAGGAGCTGGCCAGTCACTTCAGCGGGACGGGCAAATTGACAGGGTGGAGAACAGGCCTCGTGCAAGTCTGCCTGCAGCGGCCGCGCCTGGGACAAACGCTCCTGCCTCCCTTTGTCAGGGCTTTGCTCCCTGTCCCAGCCAGCGAAAGGGACTCAGCATCGCCTGGGCGGTGAAAGGGCCTGATCTCCAAAGGGATCCCACCTGCTACAAATTCTTACTGACGTCCCACGAGCACTTCTCAGGACCAGGCCCAAATTGTGGAAGGAGCAGGCACAAGGAGCGCCGGGGAGGGCGGGGG